AATTTGGAAAAAGTGCTTTATTTTCTAAAAAGTGTGCGACTGATATATATTCACGGTACTGTTTTATATAAAATGTAAATAAATTTTAATATCTAAAGATTTTCTTCTCTTCGTAAATTCATTTCTAGCATCTATATGAATATGCGCCAATTAGTCTTATTTAATATTTATATTAGTCATGCCAGAAATTTCACAATTCTACTGACGTGTATCTAAAGATGTATGAAGAATAAAAGAATCGAGTTCTCAAAATCGATTCTCGATCGATTCCGAAAATTTATAATCGATTCCCCAAAATCGATTATTTCGAGAAAATCTTCGATTCTGGAGTGGAATCGGAATCGATTTTTCCATTCCTAGTTGGCAGTTGTCCTTAAACCTAACTGTATAAAATTATATATCAAATGAAAGTTATTTTTATGCTCTTTCTAGTGAATATATCATCTAATATACCTACGCAGCGTTTGATGTTCAGCCAGAAAAAGAGAATTTATTCTAAAACTTTTCGACATAAATACTACTACAATAGTTGAGAAGAAATGTCAGATTAAACAAGTTCAAAGGAGTCATTGAATAAATCTCAACAAGAAATGAAATGAGGTATAGAGTTGATTCTTAGAGTTGCACGCCGTATCAAGTATCTTAGCACCGGCAAATTATGAAAGGTTGCCACAATACTCCCCTCCTAGACAGTTGGCTGGGCGGCGATGGACGCGGGCTTCAACCGGTCGGCTGATATTTTCACCTCGTTGTTGTTAACCTGGACTACGAAATATTTCGGGGTTCGTCGAATGACCTTATATTGGCCTTTGTACGGAGGTGAAAGTGAGGGCCGGATTAAGTCGTCACGAATAAATACCTGTTCGCAACTTTTTCAACCTGAGTGCACGGAAACCTTCTGCTTTATGTGCCAAGCCTTCATGCATTGGCTCAGTAGCTTAACCATATAGGTTTCGTAGCTCGTAGATGCACTATCGGTAAAAAATTCAGCGGGCAGCGGAAGACTTTCGCCGTACACCAAATCAGAGGGGAGGCACCCAAGTCGTCTTTGTGTGTAGATCGTAATCCCAACAACGTCAGTGGTAAATACGATGCCCATTGGTTAGCGTTATGACATAATATAGCTGCTTTCAGCGTGCGTTGCCATCTTTCGACCATCCCATTTGTTTGAGGGTGATAGGGCGTTGTACGGAAGTGGCGAACACCTAGTAATTTCAACTGCTGCTGAAATAATGCGCTTTCGAACTGCCGCCCTAGGTTGGATGTGATGGTCAATGGCACGCCGAACCGTAAAATCCAACCACTCAGTAATGCCTTAGAAACAGTCGGCGCCATCATATCAGGTATTGGCAACGCTTCTGGCCAGCGCGTAAAATGATCGACGATAGTAAGGCAATACCGGCTGCCTTCAGATGGTGGGAACGGCCCGACCAGATCAATGTGTAAGTGCGTAAATCGTGCGCTTGGACACTGCCGCCGCTGCAATAGACTTCGGTTATGCCGAATTGTTTTGTTCCGCTGACACTACCCTGTGGGGAAAATCTCTAGTTCTGAACTGGTGCGCTTCTAGTACATTTAGACCCAGTACTGGTTCGCGATAAATCTCTTTTGCATGCAAGCAACTGGCGAATTTAACATGGCGATGTCCTAGGAGGTGTCAATTGCCCCAAGCTGCATCCCTTTTTGATAGTGCCGAACTAGTCCTAAATTCTATAGTTCTGAACCAGTTCTAAAATCGACAGACGAAAGAAAAAAGTATCATGATTTTTCAATATTTTTGGTTCTTCCGTGTGTGCGATTTTAAGTTATTTTGGAAGAAATGTGTTTTCAATTTGAAATTAAATTTGTTTGAATGATTGTAAGAAATATACGTTTACATACCTTTAGCTGTAGCTGAGTTTGCAGAGGTGCTCGCTGTTATTTCTTAGATTCCAAACTGTCCCAAGATGTTGAAATGTTAACACAAATTTTAGTTTTGTATTACCAAGCTATGAAAAAGCATCTGCGAAGCGCAGAAGAGAAGCGTATTTGAACGAAAAAGCCGCCGAACACATATCTATGTAAAGTAAACAAGACCCCCGCTGCATCCCTTATTCGATAGTTCCGAAATAGTTCTAAATTCGACAAATAGGATCTAGTTCGTTCTTCATCCTTTGTTCTATAGTTCCGAACCATTTCTAAATTCGTCACTTTAGATATATATTTCTAGTGAAAAAAAACTGAAAAAAATTACTTTGTTAAAAGTACCACTTTTCGCCGATTTTGGGCTGGTGGGGATCTAGTTTCTATCGGACTAGTTCCTTTTTGGCGATAAAGACCTAGCACGGAACTAGAAATTTGATTCACTAGTCCGCGGTTTCCCTGCAGGGTACATACAGCCACGAGCGTAATCTCTGCCATCCCGATGTATCCCAGGCCAAACAAACCGCTCTGTTATTAGTCGCGTTGTCCCCTTGTACCTGGGTGTGCTACATTATGAATTGAGCGCATAAACGTTTGCCTGAATTTTTTTAGTTACAAATGGCCGGATACGACCAGACGAAGTGTCGCAATGCAAACTCTTCGAGCTGAAAGGAAGAACAAAACTTTTAAGCTTAAGCGAGTGATGAATATTGCCATCCAATAAGTCGTTCAGCTCCTCGTCGTTACGCTGGTCGTCGGCCATCCTCAGCTATGCTGTGACCAAGAAAGCGAAGTTCTGAAAGGCCAAACTCGGATTTCGCGACGTTTATTGTCAAGTTATTATCTCTCAGTAGTTGAAAAACTTGTCGAAGATGACCTCGGTGCTCATCTGCAGAAGTAGACGCAATGCAGACGTCATCGAGATAAACGAATACAAAATTAAACCCGCGTAGAACCTCGTTTATGAGTCTTTGGAATGTTTGGGCTGCAGTCCTTAACCCGAAGGTCATATGAGTGAACTCAAAAAGTCCAAAGGGAGTTGTTATCGCAGTCTTTCAGATGTCTTCATCATAAATCGGCACTTGATGAAAAGCCTTCTTCAAGCCAATTTTGGAAAAAATACATTTACCGACCAAAATATTTGAGAAATCGTGGAGGAAGGGCAGTGGATATCGGTCCGGAATCGTAACTGCATTCAAAGCCCTGTAATCCCCACATGATCGCCATGAGCCATCGGCTTTACGTACCATGTGCAATAGGCTGGCCCAATTGCTACTGGACGGCCTACAAATCCCCAGATTGAGAAGCGATTCGAACTCAGCCTTTGCGGCTACTAGTTTCTCCGGCGAAAGACGCCGCGGTCGTGCGAAAACAGGCTGGCCAGTGGTGGTTATACGGTGATGAATTGACGATTTCGTAGCTGCGTTTAGAGGGCGGGAATGTGTGATATCACTAAACTCAGTAAGAATGTTTGAAAAATTATAATTTTTATCGTATGTCTTGATACTCAATGCGCACGTTTTATCGATCTCACAAATCGATCGAAACTCTGTTTTGCGATCAAGCAAACATTTTTATTTTAAGTCGACCAAAAGTCCAAAATGAGCTAGGAGATCAGCTCCAATAATCGCTTGAGAGACATCTGCTATAACGAAATTCCATTCGCAAATTGAGGCTAAGTTTAAAAATGGCCTAGCCAAATACTAAAATGGGCGAACCATTTGCGGCAAACAGTTTTATACCACTTGGAGAAGCTTGGACTGCATTAGCGCACTTCGGGACCACAGAAACGTCCACACCTTTGTCTATTAAAAAGTGCATCTTTGTTGTCGTGTCATAAATGCGCAACCGGTATGATTTTGCGGCTTCAGATAGGTTGCCCAAATCTGAAACCGGAGCATCCAAGCAGGCCTATAGAGACTTCTTTGTTGATACAAAATTGCAAGGTTCCCGGCATTTCGCTGCTTTCTCGCCGAATTTTGCATGGTACCAACAAGCGTCGTTGTGTGGAATAGCTGGAAGCAAACGACGACTACGCGATTTGGATCGCGACCTTGAACGTACTCGTTGGCTTTTGTTATCGAGAAGTTTTAGCACGTGCTTGGTCAGTTCAGTCATTTCAAGTTTTAAGTTAGCAACCTCACTGACCGCTGCAACCTCGTGTGGTTGATTGTGGTGCATTCCGATTGTTTCAGTGATGGAGTCGGCAATTTTAAGCTTTTCCACAATAGCAACGTTCGTAGCTATTAGCGCCGCTTGTACGTACGGTGGTAGTCTACTAACCCATAAATCATGCAGAATACTGTCGCTCAACGGCAGCGCGTTTCATATCGTTAAATAGTTCGCTGGGGCGCCGGTCGCCCAGAACCATGTATTTTAATACTTTCTGAAGGCGGCGTTGCTGACTATCGGAAAAATGCTCTACGAGTTTTTGCTGGATGTATTTGTACTTAGCCTCCAACGGCCGTATCAAGTATCTCAGCGCCGGCAAAATAATGAAAGGTTGCCACATGTAGTTAATTACGTATTTTTTTAAGAAAAACATACTTATTTTATTTACATATTTTGACAGATATTGCATTGAAAACTATGTCAAATTGCAAAGAACTTAAGTGTCGACTTAATTTTGTCTGCAAATGTACCCCATTAAAACTACTTAAATTAATTTTTCTGTCAACAAATCCATTTACCTGAAGAAACCAAAAATCAGCTGTTTTTGTTCAGACACCGTGAATGACCTATTGCGTGAATGCATAAGGTTGGTAGTACTGATAAATTTGGTTGCATGCGAAGCATAATCAGCCTTAAGTTTTGTTAAGTTGTGTTACGATTAAGAAGTTGTGCGAAGTTATGCAAAGTATGCATAATCAGACCTTAAGTCAACCGATATACGGTTCGAATTCTCAACGTAAGATTAGCACCAGTGTGCGCTTCGCTCAAAGTTAAAATTTTCTTGTTATGTGTCGAGGTCTAGCTGGTGTTGTAAACCAATACATAAATACATAGATATTTAAGTTTGCTATTAAGTATTTTGAAGTTTTTTTTATGTCTATACATATATATATGTAAGTAATTTTCGTTTCTTTTTCATCTGATAGTTGTCAATCAAAAATACACAGTTCAAGTTCACGATGAATACGTGATGACTGGAAACACGGCGGTATTGAAATGCCAGGTGAGTGAATGCCCTTGTCTCAAAAATAGTAATTTCATGAATGGAAAGTTCCCGATGATTTTTACTAGTTCAGGCACTACGCTGACGGAAACAAAAAAACAATTTGTGTCTTGGAAGTATGAAAAAGCATCTGTGAAGTCCAGAACGCAAACGTATTCAGAAGAAACATACTGATTTTGAAGTTGTGTAAACCAAATTCATTTTAAAGTAGTTGAAATTAAATGTAGAGTCGGAAAGCACATTTACATGTATGGCTGTAGCTGGGCGTGCAAAATTATGGAGGCGTATTCGAATTTAGACCGCACTAAAGAATTGTAAAGCAATTTGCGAGTATATGGATCTTTAGAATCTCTAGCATAGCGCCTCATGAAAGCTGAGTTAGAATACGCCTTGGGAATGATGTAATTGATGTGGTTAACAAAGGTAAATCTCGAATCAAAGAGCACTCCTAGATCCAGGAATTCAACAACATTGCCAAGCTCAACACATGAGACAGAGTATTTTGAAGGTATTAGATTCCGTTATTTAGACAAGGTCATATGGAAACATTTATTAATATTAAGCTACAGTTTATTTCTAATGCTCCAATCAGTTATCTATATATATATATTATATTTAAGTCACATTGAAGTGCATAAACATCTGACAGGCAGGAAATCTTACTAAAGAGTTTCAGGTCGCCCGCGTAAAGTAGAAATTTAGAATGACTAAAATAGGCCCCAATATCGTTTATAAACAAAACAAATAATACAGGACCAAGAATACTACCCTGACGCACACCCGAAGTGGCCACAAAGGATGTTGATACGCGGTTTTATACTTTAAATGACCATACGATCCGTGATTCGCACTGCTAGTTCTTAAGATAATTTTTTCGGTAAGAACATTCTCATTCGTTCTCATGTCTGTTTATACGAGGAGCTTTCGCGGACATGTTTGAGAGTAAAATAAGTAATAATATAATATACCGAATAAATATTCTGGCCGATATATCGGGATCTTCGGAATTTTTGGGATTATTTTGGGGCTTACGAAACTACCTGGAGATTTCGGAGATTCTCGGCACTTTATAGGGATCAGCTTCGGGATATTCAGACTATTTCGGGACTTTGGGGGTTAATTCGGGAATTTTGGCACTATTTCGAGATCTTTGGAATTCCTAGGACCACATTGGCATATTTGGGATTATCGGCTCTGTAATGCGATTTTCGGGACTACTTCGGGATATTTGGACTATTTCGAGATTGTTGGGATAAATTCGGAATTTCTGGGAATGTTTCAAGTTTTTCGATACTACTTAAAAATTGTCGAGATTGCCGGGACTGTGTATTTCGATATTTTCGGGACTACTTGAAGATTTTCGGTATTCTCGGCACTATTTTGGGATCTTAGGGACTACTTCAAAGTTTTTAGGACTACTTCGGGATTTGTAAGAGCACTTGGGGATTTTCGAGACTTCTTTGGGATTTTAAGGGGTTTCGGGACTATTTCGGGATTTTCGAGACTACTTCGAGATTTGAAGGGTTTTAGGGGCTATATCGGGATCTTCGGGACTACTTCAGGATTTCCGGGTCTATTTCGAGATTTTCGAAACTACCTCGAAGAAATTACCAGCAATCTCGAATTAGCCCCGAAAATCCGGATACAGTGCCAAGAACCCCCGAAATCTGGAGGTTAAAATCCCGATATAGCCCCCAGAATCCCGAAAATCTCGAAAAACCCGTAATAGTCCTAAAAACCTCGAATTAGTCCCGAAAGTCCTGAAAAATTTGAAGAAGTCTCGCCGACCCCCCGAAGATTTTCGTAGAACTGGAAGTTGGAAGATACTTGTGTATGGTATATGTGTTGCATAAGAAAATATTGTTCTTAGTTGAAAAATCACAAATTTATTCGCTCTACAAATCAAAACACAAATAAATTTTATTCTTTATTTGGTTATCGAATCAAATCCTAAATAAATTTTATTTGTTATTTGGTCGACGAATCAAATCACAAATAGTAACCTTTTGTTTGGTTGACGAAACAAGTCATAAATACAAAATTATTTTTAATTTTGTTGACGAATCAAATCACAAATAACTTTTATTTCTTATTTGGTCGACGAATCAAATCACAAATAAAAGTTATTTTATATTTGGTTAACGAATCAAATCACAAATATTTATTTTTTTTGTAGTCGACGAATCTATACATATAATAAAATTGTAATAGGTCGATGTCTGTACATTGTAGATATAAAGGAAAATTAATGTGGGAGGTCTTTATTAGAGCACCAGAAGCCAAATCAACCACTTTTAGAATTTTTGTCTGTCTGTCTGTCTGTCTGTCTGTCTGTATGTTTGTTCGCGCATTACTCGAAAACGAATGCATGTATTTAAATGCAGTTTTCACCGATATATTGCTGATTTTAGAGTGGCCACCTGTTTGAAAATTTACATTTAATTCAATTTATAAGATAAATTTAATATTGCAATATGGGTATCAAACTGAAAGGGTTTAGGAAATTATATTGCCGAAAATATTTTTAGGGAGGGCTGCCACCTGTTTGAAATATTTTATTGTATTAAATTGATAAAATAAATTAAATCTATATCTACATCTATACATACTAAAATTGTAACAGGTCGTTGTCTGTACCTTATAGATGTTAAAGAAAAATTAATATGGTGGGTTTTTATTAAAGCTACAGAAGCCAAATAAACAATTTTTAGAATTATTGAATCTCTGTCTGTCTGTATATTTGTACCCGCTTTCAGTCGAAAACATGGAATTGAATGCAGTTTTCACCGATGTATCGCTAGAGATCTAGCTTCCAATATAGAAGAAAAAATTAGAGAGTTGCCATCTGTGTTTAAAATTTCAGTTTAGGTCAATTGATACGGTAAAGTGAATACTGCAATATGGCTGTCAAAAGAAAGAAATTTACCAAGGCTTACAGCTGAAAATATTTTTGTGGAAGGTTGCCACCTATTTGAAAACTTTAATTTAATTTAATTAATAGCATAAATTAAATATTGCAATATTGGCATCAAATTAAAGAGGCTAGGAAATTTTAATGCTAAAATATTTTTTGCCAACTGATTGAAAAATTGTATTCATTAAAGTTTGTAAAATAAATGAAATATTGCAATACGAATATTAAACTAAAAAGGATTAGGAAGCTTACTTTTGAAAATATTCTTGAAGCGGGTTTGAAAACTTTAATTCAGTTAAATTTGTAATATAAACTAAGTGTTGCCATATGGGAATCAAACGAGGGTATTTGAGAATAATAAAATTGCATCAGGCCGATATTTGTACATAATAGATGTTAAAGAAAAATTTATAGGGGGTTTATTAGATCAACAGAACAAATATAAAATTTTGGTATGTTTGTCTGTATGTTTGTAAGCGTACCACGCAAAAGTTAATGTATGGAATTAAATGCATTTTCACCGATGTACATATTGCTAGAGCTCTAATTGAAAATATAGAATCCATTTTTTTTGTTTTAGTTTATCGTCGATCATTATTCCTAGGTATTTGAACGTATTAACTTTTTCCAGTGCGTCGTTGTTTATATTTAGAGTTAGCAACGGACCGTTCTCAAAATTTCGCCTCGATATAACCACAAACTTATTATTTTTATTTCTGTGTGGAAGGTTTTTCGCTAAAAAAAATTAAAACTTTTCGTTGTTGCTGCCAAAAATTAAGAAATCGTCTCACGTTTTACAATTTCATACAGTTCTCTTTACAACGTATTTCACTAAACTACTAAACGGCTGCATCGACTTGGTTCATATTTGGCAACACCTTGAAAATAAATATTCTGACCAAAAATTTACTCGGTATGTAGCTCGAGATATTCCTAAAATTCTTATACAGACTGAAACGTAAAAAACCAATATATCTCTAAAACCAATTACGCTGGGGAACTGAACTTAGCACTGGTGCATATATTGCAAATGCATTGGGAAAGGAGGGTGGCTCCTTATTTCCATACAAACTGAACTTCTCATATAGCTTATCTCTGGAACTGCTTACGCTTACGTCCTGAAATTCTACACAGCTACATATGTTATCAATACCGTAGTTATGGCGAAAAGTGGTAATTATTGGAAAGGCTGGATCGATATACATTTACGTAAACGCGCAACTATCATTCGATTGGGAACCATTTTCTCCTAGATTTCTTAATCTCATTGAACTATTGTAACTTTGTCTTTAATTTTCAGTAAGGTAAAATTTATGTGAAAATTTTGAAGAATTTTTTTAATTTTTCACAAAGTTTTGCTTTTACAAGTTTTGCTATAATCTGTCCTATCTCTATACCTATTTGCATAAAATGATAGCCGTTTTCGTTGTTCGGAATAAACTCAAAAAACACTGAATAGAGTTCCGTCAGATTGTCGGTGGTTATCTTACATACATATATGGTCCAATTACATGCTACTATAAAACTCTCTAGGTGGTGCTGGAGTAGAGTTATTTATAAAAATCGTATTTATTTATTTAAGAATTTAAGAATTTAGTTTTCAGATGTCTAAATGAAGGATGGGGTTAAGTTTTTCTGTCTTTTTCGGTCTTGCATCTACCCAGAAATCAGTTCATAAATTTTACCACGAATTGGAAAAGTCGTGAATTAAAAAAGAAATATCACCGTAGGTATATCAATTGCTTCATTTGAAATATACTTAGGAGATCACACGACTCATTTAGCAATGTACCGGAAAACTTTTCATCCTGTGGGACAACGAGGACTCTTGGCCCTCCTGTAAAGAAAACGCACTTCTGTGCTCTTGAGTTTCCCTATAAGAACTTTTATTGGCATACACATCGCACCAACGTTGAAGTTGCAAGATCATACAAAAAGATTACGCATGATTGGCGGAGATCTCACAGGTGGAAATAAGACCATCAATAAAGCTCATGACACCAAAAGGGATTGGTATTCCATATGGTATTACTTCTTCTTTTCTTTTTTTGGCGCTGTAACCGCCTAAGCGATTTTGGCCGAGTTCAGCAAAGCACGCCAGTCGTTTCTCCTCTGTGCCAACTGACGCCAATTGGAAACGCCAAGTGAAGCCAAGTCCTTCTCCACCTGATCTTTCCATCGCAGTG